TGCTGTCCCCTCTGCAGAAGGATGGAAGGAAGGGGAATAACCTCATCCCTGCCCCCCTCAAGGGGCCGTGTGGGCTGGCTGGGGCCCCGCCAGGCCACTATAGTAGGAAGGGGCAGGGCCCTTGATGGAAGCAGCAGCCCTTCATAATGTCCAGCAGGATAAGCCCCTTCCTGGTGGGGGGCCCTGCAGCAGGGTGGGCAGAGCTACAGCGGGCTGCACATGGCAGCACCAGGGCCTGGAGGGGTCCAGAGCCCCCTCCCCCCCCAGCGCCACCACTGTGGCCAGTTTCCTCACCCTGCAGCACGCCCTCCCCACCAGGAAGGGGCTCCTGCCCTGTCACGGTTGCTCCCTCCTTGCTGCTCCAGTGGCCAGGCAGGGGCATGGCCAGATGTCACGGGCTGGGTGAATCTGGCCTGCAGAGGGGTCCCGCCGGGCTAAGGCACCACTCCCTGGGCTTGCAGTGGGGTTGGGGCTGCTCTGTGGTGGGACTGCCTTTCTCAGAAGAGGGGGGAGGGTCTCTTCCCCCAGGGTGAGCAGCCATTTCTCTCCCACCACTGCTGCTAAGCCTGGACAGGGGAGCCTGGAGCTGGCGTGGGCTGCATGCGGTGGTCCCTGCCTGTGCCGCAGGGCTGGGGCCAGCAGCAGCAGCAAAGGAGCTGCTGTGGCTGGGCTGGGAAGAAAAGCAGTCCTGCTGTGGAGCAGTCCCAGCCCTGCTGCAAACCCAGGGAGTGGCATCTTGGCCCAGCAGACTGAAGGACCCACCAGGGGCCATACAAAGCACCTCCCTGCTGTGACTCGGGAGCAGAGGGGCATGGCCAGCCTGGCTGGCTGGAGCACAGAGCCCAGCCCAAAGAGCATGCCAGGATGCTGGGGGTTAATCTTAAATCAGCAAGGGGTCTGGGACAGACCATGCATAAACCGGTTTGAACCAAATCAGTTAAGTCCAATACTACATTCAATCAAGTTTATCTCAAACTGGTTTCAGCCATTTTGAAACAGGTTTATGTGCACTGAATGTCTGTTCTGTTACAGGTTTAAACCGGTTTCTGATCACTTAAATCAGTTTATGTGTCATGTCTGTACCTAGCCTAGCCGGCTGGTTGTTAAGGTCCTGAAGGGACACCTGGGCTGCTTAAAAGTTTGGAACATGCGACCGAGAGAAGACGATTGCAGTGTGTTTGGGAGTTCCTATGCCAGGACATGCCTTCACTGTGGTGTAGCTGTATTCTTTGGGTTCATGTGTTTTTCTGCACAGCTATTAGGGCCAGAGACTTTCCTTTTTAAAAAAAAGAAAAAAAAAAAGAGGATATTCTCACATAAACACACTCCAGGATCTGAGACTTGAACAAAGACACCAAATATTGTGAGGTTTATGATGAAATTGTGAGACTTGGCAATGTTCCCTACATAAAAGGGTATTTCACTAAAGACCACATTCTCTTGTTATTTATACCAGTGTAACCACTGATACATAATACGAGTGAGATCAGACCTTATTTGACTGGGGTACATAAAGGGCTAGATCATCACACGCTTGAAGCCAGTGGATTGGCTCCCAGTGATATGAGATAAGTATTTGTGGCTCAGATCCTGTGCTTGCTAGATTGGCAAAACTTCATATACCTACTGTTTGGGAGTAAGGAACATATATTTTTTCATTCATGTATCTCATTCATTTTTAATGGATTTTGAAAAAAATGTTAATTTTTAATGTATTGAAATGTAGCTTTTTTAATTTATAAAGATTTTTGGCATGATAGGTTTTGATTTTGAGAGATTTTCTATGTGAAAAGAGTTACCAGCAGGTATGTCATTCATCTTAGAAACAGTTTGAAATTTTCTGTGCTAGTGATGAATGAGGGTATCTGACCCACATCTGTTTTACATTAGAATGGAACATTGCCCTGACATCGTTAGGAGCATTTGTCAAGATTCCCTGGACAGAGCTTCTGTAAATTACATGCTGCAAATGTGTCAGGGTCAGATAAGAGGATATCATTAACTGTACTAAAGTTTGCTCATGATTCTGTCAGTTCAACTTAATACGTTAACTGCCAACAATTTTCCTTGAGCTGTTTCATTAAATCTTTCATTCAGAGAAGCTAAGGGGGAAAAAAAGGTATCACTATACCCCCAAATATTGCACATGTTCTTTTCTCATAAATCATATTAATTGCAGACATGGTCAAAAAGCATATTAAATGCAGGCATGCGTAAATGAATTAAAACATATGAGAATTTTATTATGCTTATGGTAGGTCCAACATACTAAAATACCAGTCATATTAACTAGCATAATGTTTCATTTAAATGGAATAAGCTTTTTCTCAGTTTAATGGGCTTTATTTTGTTGATAATAGATATACTTTATATAATAGCTGATAATGGACCAGATATTGCCCACACATTTTTAAGGCTTTTATTATCCACTTCTGGGTCAGATCTTCAGCTGAAGTAATTTTTTTGCCTGAAGAGGAACTTTGTTGATTCCCACAAGTTGAGGGTTTGCCCTAAGAAGTGTATGTGCTGTTTCACTTTTTTATTTTGGGGAAGTAACTCACTGTTTCTGCATATTTAGCTTGTCATAGTTTGTTGTATTTATTTGTGTAGTTTTGTCTGCAGTTAAAGTTTAGTGACAGATTACTTTAGGATGTAAATATGTTTTATTATAGAAATGCAGTGGTTAGTCATAAGTTTGAGGTTACCTGTTTTCCTTATGAAGTAGAACTTGGACATATTGCTCTTTTTGGGCCCAAAACCACAGGCCTGATCCTTTGACATCATTAAATACTGAATGGGAACTGCACCATTTGGCTTTACAGAAAAATGGTTTTATCTAATACACATTTAATTTCTGGGAGTCTTCTATTGCTTTTAAGGGAAACAGAATTTAACCTGTATAACTATGAAGATAATTTGATCTTCCTCATGTGGTGTCAGACACTTTGTTGGTGAATATTAGTGTAACTTATGTGGAGCTATTCTGGTTTAGACTTTTGGAAGATCTGATCAGCAGAGTTCTGACCTGTGAATGTCTCTTGTCCGAGTGCTGAGCACCATTTAATATAGGCTAGAAGGATTGGAACTTTAATGGCTTTCTAATTGATTAGGTGAAAGTCAGCCATGCCTTTCCTGTAACTCCTTGTATGGATGATAAGGTCATGACACATACCATAAGAGAGACTTCTGCCTTTAGGCTACTTCCCTTGTAGCTTTGAAATAGACACAACCAAAAATCTAATTATTTAGATGCTAATCAACTGCAGGCTAATTCCTAAGGCCTCTGAAGAAGATATTTCTATGAAGACAATTACAGTTCAAATTCAGATTTTTCATTCTTGAAGATGTAGAGCTATGTCAGCCATGTCAAGATGTTTCAAACCATCTGATTTATTAGATGGTCTCCATTTGATAGATTGCTGACAATGGCAGTTAAGGTAGGATTAAGTTTAAATTCTGAATGTGAAATCCCATCACAAATTTGTTTTTTCAGTTCCTCAGGAAATACCAGTATGACTTGCAAATGGTACCTCTGATAAAAGTGGGCCTTCTCTAAAATACCAGATTGAGATGTACCCAGTGTTTAGACAGATTCAGAATCTGAACCTAGAATGAAAGCCACATAAAAAAATTCAAGGTTGGTTTCTGATTCTTAAAGCAGCTAGGAGATACAATACTGTCTCCTAACACTGCCAAGCTTGGGAGTCCACGATTTGCAAAGGGCTAAATGCTCTATCTTGGGTCATTTTCTATTGACAGCATGTGCTAGAACTGCTTTGAGAAAGAATTAAAGGTGCTGGGAATTTTTTTTTTTGCCCAACTCAACAAACAGCCCAAGCAGGCTCTGATCCTGTAGTCCTCACTCAGGGAAAACTCCCAGTGGGACTTCAATGGGACTGTTAATAAGAGAGTCAGGAGAGCAGACTTTGACCTATTATGTAAAGAAATTTGAATAGAATAAGATAAAGCAATGATTCAAATAGTTTTGGAGATGAGAACAGGAAAGTTTGCGCAGTAATTTGCAGCGTTATTTTAGATCTCTGATAAACTGTATATTTTAGACTAGTCAAAATCATGATACTCATGCCAAAGTAAATATTTTTCAGACAAGTCATTTTCAATGTCAGTGTTAACTTACATTATGGGTTTCCCTTTATTTTAAATCTGTTAGATGTAATCTGAAAGAAGAAAGATTAATTCAAGGGAAATATAGTATGGAGCACACATGCAAATTCCAGTACTAGGGGCCCTGCTAGCAAATCTTGGAATGCATAATCTTCCAATCAAACAAAGAAGTTTATTTGTATCACTTCAACTGGAAATCATCCTACTACATTCTTCTGAAAAATTGAAGGAAGGCAATTGTGAGGGTCTGACTAAGATGAGGGAACAATACATCCAGTTCTTTACAGCCATTGCAGGGGGTGCCACCATATTTGTTGAGTGGAAATTTATGAGTAGAATTGAGCTACTAAGTGATTTAAAAAAATTAAGTTAATTGACTGTTCTTCAAAATGGTTTTGTGTTGACCTTTAATTAAACATTTTAATTTTTTTTTGGTAAATTAAAAAGAGAAAGAAAAAGAGTGTTTTTGTTCAAATGAAATCATTCAACCTGAAACAAAATGCTTCCTTTCAGCAATGAATTTAACAGTTAAAAAAATAGAATTGAAGGACATTTCTTAACAAAAGGTCATTTTAAAATTGAAAAATTTAAAATTAACATACTTTTTTAATTAAAATGTATTAATTAAAAAATGTTTGAACATTTTAGATATGTCTTTTCTTTTTTCTTCTACAGTTTGAATAAAACAAAAATAATGTTCTTATTACTTTGATATAGCTAAATCTTCCTCCCCCCAACTTTATTTGGAGAGTTAAGGAAAAAAAAAACTGTTGCGCATATTCCTGCTTATCTTTTCTATAGGATACATGTGATGCATATCCTTGATTCATGCATTTTGATGTCATTATAACCACAGCTTCCTGAATCTGACTCACCTTGTGCTTATCTGCTTGAAAGTTTTCCCTTCCATTGAAACCATAATCTCCAGTCCTGTTTTCCTTTTCTTTATGAAAACCAAACAAAACTTAGTGGTGGCAGTTCAGGGGTCACCAGTAGCACTACAGAAATAAATCACTGTATTCATTCAATGAAAAATTAAAACAGTCCAATAAAGGACATCTGCCCTCAAAATGGTATGGGCTCATATGAAGGTAGAATTGATCCCTAAAGCAATAATCACCATTTTAATTGTTTCTTTTAAGGATAAGACGGAAGAGTAAGTAAGGTAAAATAATTACAAACAAATCTTAGAAATATCTTTCATGATGTTCTAGAGCAGTGGTTCTCAAACTTTTTTGGGTCACAAAATGCCTTTTATAAGTTATGCTGCTGTGTATCCTTGTGCTTCCATGCTGTGAATTAAAAAAAAAATACTACTTTGTGTTGTTACAACCACACTGTAACCTCTCCAACGATGTAAGACATTGTGGACTTTACTTCATTTTTTATTTTTCTTTCCTATTCCTAAATTTATATTTTCATTTTCCCTCATGCATTCCCTTTCCTTCTTCTTGTGTGTCTTCTTGGAGCTCACCATATACCCCAGTTTTGGAAGCAGTCTCCTAGGGGAATTGTGACTTCAGTTTCTGAATATACAGATTATGTAGAAGCTCCACTGTGTCCTAGGTATATAATCTCAAGCCTATTTCTCAAGTCTTAAAGTGGTAGGAATTCCAACAAAAAGGAGCAGTTTTCACCACATGTTGTAAAATAGAGTAGTCCTTGGAAAGTAAACCTAGATCAAACTATAGTATGAGGAAGATACTTGCAAAAATAAGGAATTTAGCAGCACAAGTCTTGCTGGCTTACAGTGAGATGTGTGCTTCTAAATTGTTTAAGTGCTTTGGAAAAATCTTGTCCTGAATTTCCATAGAAAATTCCTACAAGGGAGTTGGGCTTTTATAGGCAAGGACACATTTTGCAGTAATCTCTTCCCCACTCTTGATTTCATATCTATAAGAAGTTTATTAAACAAGTCCCAATAGTCTGGAAGCCAGTGTAGAAGAGCAGTGCTGTTGCCTTCTCTAAGGGAGTGAATTGGTTTGGGAATCTGTGACATGCACTGTAGCCTTTTCTTTCAGCATTTCTTTACAGACCGGTCACATGCTGCAGACAACAGTACATGAGTTATGCCCACTCTGCCCCAGCCAGTAAACAAATGTTCTCTAGAGTTCTTTGGGGGCTGCCTATGGTACACTGCAAATGCATTGAATTGAAACTGTTTTTGGAGGCTAAACAAATATGACTTGGTAAGTTTTGGGCGGCTGTGAGAGTCTCTCTTATATAATGTTTGTACAGTACCTCCTAAAACAATGCATCTCAGGGGGTAGGACTGAGGCTGCTGGGTGCTACTCCAACACAAACCGATAAAAATAAATATTTTTGCCATCATTTGCCTAGCTCTAGAATCTTATTCTGCTAGGAAGTTTTCTGTCATTACAAGTATAGTTTGTTTCTTACCACTATTTTAGAAGCAAAACTAAATATTTGCTGGGCAAGTCTACACCTGCATTTACTGTGCATTAAATTTACTACACAGTAATTTATTGCACAGTAAGAAGATTTAAGCCAGTGTCTATACATGCAGGCGTTAATCTTAGTAATGCTCTGTGTGGATTGACTTGAGAGTAAAGTTAGTTCGAAGTCAGTTCACATACACAGTGTTACTGCTCAGTAAGGTGTCTACATGTGCATTACTGCACAGTAACTAATTGGGCATAAATCGGGCACCTAAGTCAGCATAAGTTGCCATATTTACTGTGCAGTGTGGGTGTGCACATGTAGACAACACTCATACTGCACAGTAATTTTCGGTTACTGTGCCGTAAACGTGCACATGTAGATCCGCCCACTGAGAACCTATTTATAACTGCAAGAGAGAAAATAACAGTTGTTTAAAGATGCAGTATCTAGAAAAGCCACCACGTTAGAAAAGAGTGAGCCTCTTATATAGTAAGGTTGACCAGAACAGTCATTAGGACTGAGTTGGTGTTGCTATCCCATTTCAAGCTATGAAGTTTAGAAGCCTTAAAATGGGATCTAAACCTCAATTTACCATATAACTATCTTGTTCTTTTCTGTCTGATGTGGTTATTTTTCTAGATATTACTGATCTGGTTGAATTGGTCTTTATGAAGAATGTGAAATGTCTTGTATGAGAAAATAAACAAAGAACAATGGAGCTTTTGGGTTTGGGGAGCAGCACCGTAAAATGTTAGATTATGACCAAGGAGCTATTTCCTCCTCTTTACTTCTCCTATCATTATTAAATCCCTAAGGAATAAACATCCACAGAAATCCCAACTGTGACATGTGATCAGACATTCTAAAAGCATAAAAGGATTTCTCTGTACCCCTGTACATTAATTTTTTTGGAATGCCAGCCGTAAGTTATCATTTAGATGCATGATGTAACTCTCTTTCCTCTTTGAATTAGGTACCCAAAGTGCAGGTCAAATACCAAGTAATAGATATCTTGGGAAATTAAATAACAGACTTAATTATTCTTGTAGCTACATATGAAATACAGTTGTTCATACATGTTAACCTTCTCTCATTATTATACTTTTTATTTTAGGTAATGGGACTCTTGACTAACCATGGTGGTGTACCTCACCAACCCCAAACCGACTATGCCCTCTCACCTTTAACTGGGGGCCTGGAACCAAGCACCACTGTATCAGCCAGTTGCAGTCAGAGACTAGATCATATGAAAAGTTTAGACAGCCTGCCTACATCCCAGTCGTACTGCCCACCAACCTACAGTACTACAGGTTACAGTATGGACCCTGTCACAGGCTACCAGTATGGACAGTATGGACAAAGTGAGTATTTGATCAATGGGATGACAGGATATATCCTTAGTAGGGCAACTCTATCTTCATTGTATTTTTCTGCTCATAAAGAAAATGGTGAAGACTGATTATAGACTATGACTGCTACTTCTCTTCATAATAGAACTGTGTTTGCACTAGGATAACTGATTGTTCAAGCAAGATTTCTGCTGCATAATTATTTTCTTAAGTGATGTCAACAACATCTTGATGTTATTAATTGTTGAGACATGAAACCTGATTGCCATTAGGTAAAACATAAGGGTTGTCCAAAATGAAATAACCACTGGCATTCCAGTATTAGAAACACATGTTCTTAATGAGGTCAGCTCAAGAATCATTATAGTATATAATCCCAGATACACAGAGTTTTGTCAAACTTGTCCTAGGAATAAAAATATTAGTCCCTTTCCTTTGATATATCAGTATTAAATATGACAATGTCAACCTGTAGTTGACATTGCCCCTTGCTGTGAGGTTGTCACAGCATGACTTAAAAAGCTTCTTTTGCTTTCTTACAGGTGCCTTTCATTATCTGAAGCCAGATATTGCATAAATGAACTGTCCGCTTCAAGTTAAAGCTGGTCTTGTTTCTGGTCTCACTCCAATGCTTGGATAGGAGGAATCTTCTCACTGAAACACAGCCCAAACCAGGGCAATCACAATAAAGATACACGATTGTTATGTGCTTTTCTTCTGTCATTACTTTCAGTAGACATTCAGACATTAGTACGAAACAGTTCAGAAGACAAAGACCAAGAGCAATATTAAATAAACAAATGCAGCTTGGTTCAGTATGGGCAGGTATCAAAAATAGTAAAGTATTTAAAACTGCTGACTGACAAAACATTCCATTTTTATGTTGGTGAAAAAAGCAGGCATTGATTTGAACCGAAGGAATGATCCAAAACTTAACAGTTAATCTCTGTAGATTCTGACTCGTCTGACATCCAATGCTGACTTTACGATAACTTTAAAACTGCTCAGTTTATGAAGCATGGGCAGGAGAACTTTTAAAAATTTTACACACTGGAAATTGACATCAAGAGGAAATGTTGCAGTCAGTAGGATGCTAGGATAGATGTAAAAGGCTTCCAGAATAAGGTTTTGGTTATCTTATCACTCTTTTGTAATTATGTTGTCAATAAATGTCACTTGCAAGTTTTGCTTTACAACAAATGAGATGATGTGTAACACAAAGAAAAAGTTTTGCCTTTTTTTTGTGTGTGAAGTCTTCCTAGTCCATGTTACATTCTGAATCAAAAAAAGGAAAAAAATCACCAACAAAGTGACTTTGTTTTCCATAACTGCCTAACAATGTGCAATACTGTGTACCTCACACAAACTTTGGGATCATCCAAAGTGATAGATAGAATCAGAACTATATTTTTCCAGGTACTTTTATTTTTGCAGTATATAATTCATTGTAATAAAATGCAGAAGTGTTGTAGTCTGATGGTCAATAGAAATCCAGCTCACTAATCATGATTAAAAACCATTTTCAGGAAACAATACAATGAAATGATTACGTTTACATTCTTTTTTTAGTGACCTACAGGACGTGAACTGAGATATTCCTGTACCTGATGTGTTCTCGTAAATTATACAGTGATATCCAATATAGGAAAAAATAGGAACCAAGGTTTACATAAGTTTATGTTGTGACATTTTAGAATGTCAATAAATTTGTGTTTTGAAATGTTAAGAGGAACAGAAAAATGGAAGGCAGCGTTATTTATTTCTCTTGATTCTTGGTACAATGAGTGAGGTAGGGCACAAATACATTCCTTTTAGCATTAAGGACTATGAAGTAGTGAGTTAGACTAGGTATAGTACAGAGATTAGTTCGCACATTGGTCTTAAAGGGTGATGGAACAAAAGAAATATTATCTTTGTGTTGCAGCCTCTACCATCAACACGTGTTGTAAAAATGTCTTTCATGTAAAAAGTGCAGTAAATATTTACTATTTATATTGAATAAACAGTTATGAAGACTTGCAAAGCACTTATTATTTTGTCCTAAAATGTAGTATTATTCTAAATGCATTGATTCATTTTGACCTGAATATCGTGAAGAAATAAACCATTTTATCTTCTATTCAAACTGCATCATTACATAAGAGATTTAACATGGGGGTAGCCATCAGCAGCCTATGAATCCATGAGCTATTAATGACACACAGTCCTTGTGGTTAAATTATACATTTTCAAGGGGCACCTGTAAAGCATGTTTCCTCACCACTGTATGAGGAAACGCATTCAGTTTTTGCTGTACGTATATAGATGGGTCGACAGTCCTGAGCCCAGGTCAAACAGACAGATAAAGCAGGCCTCTTGGCATGATTTCATAAACTGTGGAGCCTTATTTTATAATGACTGTACATATTTACCTGTTCAAATATTTATTTTCCTACAGCAAGCTCAAATAATTCTAAGATGGACACAAGTAAATTTCACTGAAAAAGCAGATTTTTTTTTGCTGAAACTTCAAATGTCTGAGGAAAGGGGAAATGATATGCTACTGGGACTAATAGAGTAATGTTTTTTCACATTTTTTTGAAGAAATTAAACATTCTAAACTTGATATTTTTTCTGCGTTTATTAAATGTCCCCCTTCCCACTGGAAAAGTGAAATAATTGGAAATGGTGTGGGGGGTGGGGGTGGGGAGGGAATTACATTGAGAAGAACCACTAGAAAAAGTCTGTAAAACTAACAAAATTAAGGAAAATTCTTATTTTGGTCACAAAGCTGCCTCTTGTTGGATATTTTTTCCCTGCTTTCAGCTTTAAGCCTTTGCTTTCTGAATCCTTTCTGTGGTCCTGTTGCCTAGCTTCCTCTCAATCTGAGGAGGCCATTCCTCCAAAGATTCCTTTCTAGTTGTGTTCCCCTTTTAAAGAGTCAAATAACCTGGCACGTTTCATAAGCAGTAAATTCACTTAAGAAGTATGTGATGAATAACCCGCTTTCTATGTATGCCACAGGAAAACACAGGCTGTCATTTCACTTGTTTTCTTATGTAGGCCCTATATCCCTGTTGAGGATTTGGCATTCTAAAAGCATGAAGATATGAAGGTTCATGAAATCTTGTGACTCATGCTTGCACAATTATCACATCACCAGGGATCCGGGTTTTCTGTTTGCTGTGGAAAAAAGTGGCAAAATGTGGATTTTTTTCTTTAAGGAGAAAAATCTGGGAAAGTGTGGGTTTGCCCTTGCAGGATGGCAGAGGGGCTGCTTGGGGCTGTGGGGAGCAGAACACAGGGGGTGCCATGTGCATATGTGCGCACACGCATGCACGTGGCAGCCTGGCAGTGTGGTGGAGAGCAGTTCCCGCAGCTTCCTCCAGGTAAGTCTATGAGGGTGGTGGTGGGGGAGGGCACAGGTGATTTGTCAGGGGGCTGAGATGGCATAGACAAAGCATTGGGAGGGGGGATGTGCCCTGCCCCCGCCCCAGTTTTCTGCACCCACAGCAGGGGGCAGAGCTGCAGCCTGGTTGGACCAGCTCTGGGCAGGAACTACCTCTGTGGCCCAGTGGGCAGGACCCGGTGCAGGATGGAGTGCAGTGCCAGCATGGCTGCCAAGGTGAGACGCCACCTGCCTACCTGGCAGCATCGGGGGCACAACTCTGCACTACTGCTTCCATGCCTCACTTTGCCATGGCGGCATGGCACTCCCTCCTGTTCTGGGTCCCACCTCCAGCCCCATGGCCCACGTCCCTCTGTGGGTGCAGAAATCTGCATGCACATGTCCCCTCACCCCCCATTAGGGCTGTGCAAAGCTTTGAATCATGATTCGGATTCGGAGATGATTCGGATGATTTGGAGATCGAACCTATGAATCTGAATTGAATCATTGGAAGTTTTAGGCTTTCTGAATCGATTCAGAGCTTCCAAATCGATTTGGAAAAGTTTCAGTGATACGGAGATTCGGCCATAGGGTATAATGGGAAATCAATGAAATATCTATAACTTTGTTGTCTTTTGGCTGATTCAGATGAAACTTGCAGGGATGGTAGCCTCTGTGAAGAGCATTATGCATGCCAAGCATCAAGATGATAAGTGCAGGGGTTTCTGGGAAACTTTACCTCAAAGTCCTGAAAGCAAAACTCATGTCACGTGTGTATGAAGCCACACTGGGGTGAAACATGCAGAGGTGGTAGCTCTTGCTGAGGCCACAAAGTCTGTCAAGTTTCAAGGAGATAGGTGAAGGGGTTTCTGGGAAACTGCACCTCAAACTGCTGACAAGCAAAACTCATGACATAGGTGACACTATACGTGTGTTAAGGCACAGGGGGGTGAAAACTGTACAGATGGTAGCCCCTGCTCAGGCCACAAAGCCTGCCAAGTTTCAAAGAGATAGGTACAGGATTTTGGGGGAAACTGCACCTGAAGCTGTGGACAAGCAAAACTTGTGACATGGGTGACACTGTGTGTTAAGACGCAGCAGGGTGAAAGCTGCAGGCCTGCTAGCCCCTGCTGAGGCCACAAAGCCTGCCAGCTTTCAAGGAGATACGTTCAGGGGTTCTGGGGCCCTGCACCTCTAGCTGCTGACAGGCAAAACTCGTGACATGGGTGCTTGGGCAACTGACTGTCTCTGTCTTGGGGCAGAAGCAGTTCCTGACTCTGTATTGATTCTTTCCTCTCCTTAGTCGGTGGTTTTGTAAGTGTTAATCCTTGCTAATTAACTCGTTATCCTCGCTAGCTACTGTGTATTGAGCTGGTCCCTGAGTGAATCATGATTGATTGGTGCAGTTTCCCCCAAACCCCTGCACCTATCTCCTTGAAACTTGGCAAGCGTTGTGGCCTCAGCAAGAGCTACCATCTTTCACCCCACTGTAGTTTAACACACAGATGTGACATGAGTTTTGCTTTCAGGATTTTGAGGTGCAGTTTCCCAGAAACTCCTGCACTTATCACCTTGACCTTTGGCATGCATAATGCTGTCAGCAGAGGCTACCATCCCTGCAAGTTTAATCTGAATCAGCCAAAAGACAACAATGTTATAGATATTTAATTGATTCCCCATTGTACCCTATGGCTGAATCTCTGAATCAGCTCCAAATCGGCTCCGAATCTTCCAAAGTGGTTCAGCCGAATCGAATCAGAAAAATGATTCAGATCTCTGAATTGAATCTCTGGCATCTGAATCAGCCTAATCCAAATTCAATAGTTCCCCATTCGCACAGGCCTACCTCTCATGTGTTGTCTGTGCCACCCCTACGCAATGCCTATGCACCCACCCCTTCCCTCACACATGGGGGGTGGGGGGGCCCTGGAATCAAAGGATAGGGGGTAGCTGGTCAGGAGCAAGGGACACCAGCAGGGCTGGGGAATGGGAGACTGGGGTGGGAGTGAAGGGCACCAGCAGGGCTGAGAAGGGAGGCAGGGCATGGTGGGTTGGAAGTAAGGGGCACTGGCAGGGATGGGGGACTGTGGGTGAGGAGTGAGGGGCACCAGCAGGGCTGGGGGGGTTCATAGTGAGGGGCAATGGCATGGGCAGGGGCAGGACACAGGCATGTCAGGGCAGCTTAGCATCACAAAGCAACAGGACAGGTGGGGATGGCCACAACTAGACCCAAATCCTGGTGAGCAAAGAGGGCTGGGACAGTTCTGATTTTTCTATCATAAAAAAACCAAAATCAAATGCCAAAATATGGAGGTATTTAGAATTTATTTTATGATTATGATAGTGGCACCAGTAGGGTTCCAAATTGCTTTAACATTGTAAATATATCAATAAAGAATTGTGCTCAACTGATGCGCATATATATTCAAAATTCTCTGATTTAAATAAA